AAGTAGTTCGGCTGCTCATCCACTATTGGTCCAGACTCTATCAATCTTCTCGCGAAACGACGTTATAGGAGGTACGTTATACGAAAGTTGCTACAATTTTTTCGCTACGTTATAGGAATTGTCGTTATAGGAACGTACGTTATAGGGGGGTCGACTGTACCTTAATTTTTTATCTTTATCGAGAAAAATTGTAATAACGATTCTTTTGAAATGACAAGCAACTTTCACGTTGTATCATTTAAAAGTAATGAAATAGTCGTTAACAAAACATGTAGATTTATATCATTGAAAACTTCGAATTTTACATAGATGTATATCTTCGTACACGTGCATTTGAACATACGTGGTACAGTAAACTTAAAGATAAATATACGTAAAAATCAAATATGATTAATAAAGATAAATTGTTGTTTGCATTATTTTATCAAAACAAAAAAAAATATTTATATTACCTTCATATTATCATTAATAGAAAAGGTTGAAGTCGAATTTTATTATAATATTTTCGATTAGATAACATCTGTAATATGTAAGAGTATACAATACAAAATTAATAAAGGATATTATCACACACAATAACGATTTAAACTGCTCGATAAAATCTCAGAAAAATTTTATCTTGTAAATACTGAAATATATTTGTTAAATGTAGAGATTTTAATTTAAAACATATTGTAAAATATACAATTAATAAAGATGTGTTATTATTTGTATCATAAGACTGGATACAGCGTTTACCCGTGATTATAGAAAGGACGACAAGGAAACTTCAATATTTGTATTTGTATAAGTTTTTATTATTTGAACTTATTTACAATACGTGTCAAAATATATTTCGTTTTGGATGTTTTTGATATTTATTTACAATATAAATTACAGTGTTTTTACATACTAAAAATATACTAAAGTTAGCTCATTAGTTCAATAATGGAAAGAAATTATTCATTGTGATATCGACACAATGCCAGACTGCAATCTTTAATCATATTTGCAATTTAATTAATTTAAAATATATTTTACACATTAAATTAGTAGTGTCTTGCCTCAGTACATTACACGTTTCCTGTTAGCAACAAATTCTCGCTGTTCATCTAAATGCTTTTATTACAGTCATCAAGACAGACGACAATGGGAATTGATATGTCTACAGTCTTTTCAAATATCAGTTCAATAAATTCATGTAATTTCAATTAGGATCACGGATATTATCTTTATAAGTTAGGAAATATAACAACAGATAGTGTTTACATTGAAAAGTGAAAACAAGTCACGTTATCTACTAAAAGTTTTGTCTGATTAAAGTAGTTATCGCGATAACTACTCGTGAAATAAACAAGTTAATGTTAATATTGTACGAAAAGGGAGAGAGTGAGAAACAAAAATGATCATCTCCAAAATCGAAAGCATCTGTGAATGGAAATTGATTGCAGGATTTCTAATACTTGTTTCGTTCCTGTATCTATGGAAAGAAAGGAACAGAAATAAATCGAGAAACGAATTACCAACATCTTCTAGTTTCTGTGCTCTTTGGAATCTGATTTTCTGTCCAGTAAAAGTGCAAGATTATCGAAAACTTTGTGGATGTTGTAAGTATTATTTTAAAATATTCATCTATGTCTTGTGATACAAATTTATATTAATAGTGTCGGATGCCGATCACCTATAATGATAAACGAATCCTAATTCTAAATATATTAAACGATTTTTCCAGTTATTATTCAAGTTCTGAATTCTGCGTGTATTGTATATCTAAAAGAAAGATTAATTAAAGTTTCGTGGGGTGGTTATCATTATATTGTATTATCTCATCCGGAAGTGGTTCAGGTATACCCGCTTTAACACACAATATTTACGTGTTTTGTAATGTTAACAATTGATTATTTAACACAGGAAGTACTGAAGAGTTACACCGTAATTAACAAAGATTGGCTCTATAATATTCTTCATTCTTGGCTAGGAACGGGTCTTCTAACGAGGTAAAAAAATAATTCAATATTTCACGTGAATAGTATATTTATTATTTGTTTTTAATGGCAACAGTTCGAATGATAAGTGGAGGCATCGTAGGAAATTATTAACTCCCGCATTTCATTTTCGAATTCTCGAAGATTTTCAAGGAATTTTCAATGATCAATCAAACATCTTAATTGAAAAATTGAAGAAGAAAGAGGAAAATGAAGAATTTCTTATGGACGAGTTGATTACGCTGTGCACTTTGGATGTTATTGGAGGTAAGAAATATACAATTTTTACATGTAAAAATATTTAGAAATTCAAGACGGTATTTATAAATATTTTATAATTAATATTTGCAGATTCGGCAATGGGAGTTCATATTAAAGCTCAAAACCGATCTGACACTGATTACGTCATTGCCATTAATGAGTAAGTTGAAAAGGAATATTAAGTGTTATTTTATTAGTATAAGATTCAATTGTTTTCATTCTCTTTGGGAAAAATCGTAAAATTTCTGGAAAAAATAAATATTTTTGTGAATCTTTCGTTATGTTAAAAGTATATTTTTAAATATAATAAATTAAAATTAAAACATTTACAGATTAATAAAAGTTTATTTTACGTTATTTTTAATTGTATTTTTATTAATGAAACTCTCTCATTTTTGAAGTGTGTTCCTGTGTCTTACATTTCGAGTTAGAGTCTAAAAAAAAACGTGGAGTTTTCTGGGTTTTTTCACGTAGTTTTTTCACTAAGTCGGTGAAAGTTTCTCACAGAATGTTTTCTGGAAGGCACCTCTTTTTGACGGATCAACATAATTTCGAATGGCTTTACACCGTATGTTGTATATTCAGGTCCATATCTTCAATTTGTTTCATGTTTGCACTAACTATCTTTTATTGTAAATTATAGATTGGCACCATACTTTTTATATGGATATAATATATACTTTTCATATATATAATGATTGCTTTTTTATTTCATGTTTTCTTTCAATTATCACTTTTATAATTAACAATAGTTAAAGTAAAGAAATGGAGTAGATAATGATACGTCTAGTTCATAACTTTCACAAAACATTTTTCGACAGCTTCTTCCATAGCTTCACCTAATGCAAATTTAACTCCCAAAATGCCAACTGCATATACAAGTAAAAACAAGAGCAAAAACGTATTTGATATTCTAGGAACATTTCCAGTTTTAAAGTACAGTACATTAATTTCTTCACTTTTTTTCTTATTAACGTGATTTGTTACAATAAGAATAGTTTTGTTTTACTCAATTAAAGTTAAAATCAATGGCTAATCTTATGAATTGGTAGTTTTAGTCTTTGTTTTTTGAGATTAGTAGTTAGATGTGAGAAAAATAATTTGTGCAGTTCAACCGAAATCATTTACAAATGCTCTTTCCCTATAGTGATCTTTATTTACAGGTTGCTCTGTAAATGAAATAGATACAGAAAAAAAACTTATGAAAATAATATACTAGTTAGTTTGACATATTGATATAATGAAGATATCATTTAATTATTAAAATAAAATTTTTTAAAATACTGTATTATAATTGTTACAGCTTTATTTATATTGTATAAATGTATTATTATGTTGTAATACTGTGACTGACAATTAAACAAATGTTCAAAAATATAATAAAGCAATATTTTCTGTATACAACTGAACAATTAAAATAACAAAGTGTTTCATAATGCAGTATAACATCCGCATTTGTTCAGTGGTTCACAAAACCTTGGTATTGGTTTCGTCCCCTTTTCAAGTTGAGTTCCTTAGGAAAAAAATTGAAAAAAGATACAGAAACCGTTCACGAATTTGACAGAAAGGTTGGTTAAATTTGAAACTCGTTAAACCAATTCATTAACTAACAGCAAAACATTTCAGGTAATTAGAGAAAAGAAACAGCAACTGATCGAAGAACTGGAAGACAATCAAACAATCGATAACTTTCAAGAGGAGAAAGAAGTCGTAGGGATAAAGAAGAGGCGAGCATTTCTAGATTTACTACTTTATCATCATTTAACTGATGGAAGTCTAAATGAAGAAGATATCAGAGAAGAAGTTGACACCTTCATGTTCGAAGTAAATTTCATTCACGGATTTATAAATAACAGAGTTTCATGTTGTGTAAAAATTGTGCTACTTATAGGGGCACGACACAACTGCAATGGGTATTAGTTGGACCCTTTATTTGCTCGGATTGCATCCCGATATACAAGAAAAAGTGTACCAGGAGCTGGAGGAAATTTATGGTGATGACATCGATAAATCCATTACCTGTGAAGAGCTTAGAAAAATGAAATATTTAGAATGTGTTGTTAAGGTAAGAATTCGTTTGTAAATATAATAATGTTTTCTTAAAAAATTCAGAAATACTAGAAGAAACACAGATATTAATGTAACGTGCCTTCAGGTTTCTTTCTTTTGTACACCTCAAGAAAATACTGCAAGAACAGTTTTATGGTGGAGCCATGTTTAACTTTAGATTCTTATAAGTCTCAATAGTATTGTTGCTAGGGCTCAAGCTAGAAGCTTGAGCCCTAGCAGCTCATGGCTTTGCAGCCCTGACATTAGAGTAATGAAAGTGTCAATACACGCAGAACTGTAAACGTTAGGTTGTTGCAAATGAAATGACCGATTTTTACTTATGACTTTGAAAGTCTATTAATTGAATTTGTAACTTAAATACTCAATCAAAATTGTCCCCACCTATATTAATACACTTTTCTTAATGCAGTAGAAACGCACTAACACCAATTTGACGCGAAATGCTCCTTATTTCTCACTGAATTTAAGTGATGTCCATTTGTCCAGCTTTAAGACTTTCCCTAACATGTTCAGATGTCGCGAAATGGTTGAATAATATCCAGTATGATCAATCTCTCTGAGAGTTACCGCACAATCAGGAGATATTCTGATTCGATGATGTTCTTCAATTCTGATTTTTTACTTTCCTGACTGTGTTATATATAATAACAAAAAAAATATGGCAATCGATCAAAAATGATCCCCATGATTTCTACATTTTTCGCTCACAACATTCTGAAACGTCGAGAAGTGCAAAAACAATTCAGGTTTTTTTTCTGTAGGGGAGACCGGGGCAACTTCGGCATGCGGGGCAAGTTTGTCAAGCGCTTTTTTAAAAAAACAAATTAAAAGGAGACTTTGGTTATAGGTTAGGCAGTTGAGTTTTATTGGTGGCTTGTTGAGTGTAGTGTTTTTATTGTTCTCCAACAAGCGNACCTACTACTACTACTTATATTCTCGAAGTTAAATTTAAACTAACGAAGGCATGCATGTAGAGATAAATTAGTATGAAATAACAATAAAATTAAATTATATAAGAAGATAAACATTTACGTCAATTTAGTCAATTTAGAATTACGACGAATAGGCAATACCATGGCGACGTAAATGTTAAACGGTCAAATTTTTAAAGAAATAATATCCAAATCCTTGGGGGATCCAACGTAAATTTATTACAGGGTTCGAATCTTTCAGTAAATAACGTTTCCCAGATAAAAGTAACTTCTTTGTCAGCACATTGCATTACAAGCAAAGTCTCATTCCATTTCGGCACACAATTTCTTTGCATCACACAACTAGAAAGTTTTGTATTGCACTTGTTACGGATGTTATCATGGTTTTCAGTAATTTTTTCCATGGCTCCGATGTAAGAAAATATTTGTAATAAAGCGAAAAAACTAGCGATTTTTCAAGTGTGAAAAACACATCCCTGTGATTGCAGAGAAGTTTCTATGTTTACCATTTCTGTCGAATGTAACGTGACTCGAACAGCAGCCGTATTTAAAAAAATCATCTAGCAATAAGTTGCGTAACTTTGTTGGCTTCTATAAAATTTATTTTAAAAATATACGCTTTCTATGTCAACTTAGTAGTGGCTTTCCCCTGTACATCATACTTTTGCTTTGAGAGTAGAGTCGTACCAGTCATCTATTAACTGCATTCAGGGGGAAAGGTTTGAATCGAAATAACGTAACTTCCGGTTTGCGTCGAAAATTCCTGTATTGCTAATCCGAGCTTGTTACTCGTTCCGGCTTCTGCATTTGCTCTTGACGTTTATGTATCTAATTTCGATCTCGAGATTAAGGAAAGACAGCCGGACGGACAACAGTAAAAATTTATAGATCTATAATTTTTTGCAATCATTAAACAACATACTTATATAGCGCTCGTTTGCTTTGGTACATAATAATAGGTGAATGTGTTCAAAATACTATTTTCCATATTTACCTTCAGTTGTAAGAACAATTAATGATTTTTAAAACGATTGTGTTTACCTTTGTTCGTATTTTTCAAGAAGTTTCGACCTCATAGTTTCATAGAGTAAAAGAATCCTTTTTAAATATTATATAAGTTAATTCTAATATTTAAAAGAATTATGTATTTAAAGTATTAATTAGAAAACTTGCTCGATAAAAGTGTAAAATACATGATAAAATAAAATATATTTAAACTAAATAATCGATAATATTTCAATTATTTTCTATATTGTGTGAATATAAAATTGAGACTTATCACGAGGAAAGTTAAAAAACTAAATTTTACTTCTATGAAAGTGAAGGTGAAATGAAGGTGTTCAATTCAATAGGGCATTTTTTTGCGGATTAGAAATTGTCAAAACAATCAAAAGAATGCAGGAAAGTGAAAGTAGTTAACGTGCAATTAATTCTTTATCAGTTTCTTATTTTTCTTTGATTTCTATTAACGGCCTTGTCTTTATTTATTGCCAATTGTCATTTGAAATTCTACTTTATTTAATACGAACAATCAATCAATAGTAAAGGAAATTTTCACTCACTGATAATTATTGTTCTAAATTGCTTTATTTGAATGAAATTAACGTACTTTCCATTACAAACCGAAAGTTAATGTATAGTTAATCGAGGCCTCCTGTTTTTTTGCTGTGTATTTCTTCTCTCCATTATCATTTATTTAGCTCCATTCCCGAGAATAAGGAAGAACAGCAATCAGACTGACAAACAAACAGACATTCATTCACAGACAAAAACAAACACATGACAATCGAAATTTATAAATCTATAATCTCTTACAAATTGCACCCAAATACTGTACATCTTTCAACTTCTTAAAAATTTTCCATGGACATTTGATTCTGAACGAGCAATGGTTAATTGTGTTTTGCTAATTCTGTTTGTCATCTTTATATTTAATTCTGACAAAAGAGGATATAATTTAAAATACATATATATATATTATATTCATTGAATTATTGCGAGATTCATATAGGTGAAGTGGATGCGCCATTATGCCATTATTGCAACGGGTAGCACATAACACTTGCCTGCATGGAGTGTGGTAGTGTTTTGCCCTGTACATTATCGTTTTCTTGTTAGGAATAGCGTTGTGCTGCTTATGTATACTTCAATTCAAAAGCTCTCCATTCGGGAGAGCTTTTGAATTGAAGTAGCGTTACTTCTGATCCAAACCGGTATATTGCAAATCTTCCTGCCCTAAGCTTTCCATATTTGGTCTCAATTTTCATCTATCTAACACCTTTCTCGAGATTAAGGAAGAACAGTCAGTCAGAAGGAAAACATTGAAAATTTATAGGTATACAGTTTTTTTTTAAATTGCTGCCTAATAATTTTTCGATAAATGTGATATTTAGGAGAATATACTTCTCACTTACTTTCTACAATCTGTTTCAAAGTTTAAACATTTTATTATCACATAAAAGCAATTATTGTCATATTTTTACAAGATTATTTATATTTAATATTTCGTGACTTAGGTGAATTCTCGCCCTTGCCTTGATCGTGTGGGTCTTTCGGACCCCATGTTCATAATATAAAATTATTAAATTTTATCTATCGCGTAAAAAAGTACAATTTCCCGTTAGTAGTAGGGGTTTGACACATACTGATCACAAAATTAATTTTCTAATAACAAATTTTCATTTAAATTAATTGTATTTTAACAATAAGTTTAATTATCAAATGTTTTTAAAAATTAATTATTTTTTGTAATTCACTTTACTAACTAATTTTCGTTTTGATTATCAATTATTTTATAGAAGATATACGATTGGTCGGTATTTGATATATATAAAGTTTTACGGAACGTTAGAATTTATTTTTAATACCAAGATTAAAAGTTGAAATCATGGAGACATATGGTTTTATTATTACTTACGACGGCGATAGAAATTATTCTGTTTCTCCTCGTTTGTACAAGTGTTTGGATACATGTATTGCTGAGGTAAATAATTTTTCTTTCGCTATTCCTGATAATTTCTCTATTGTTTTACGTTATTTTAAAGTTAACGATGAAATATAGAAAGGAGATGGTAAATTTCGTTTTATAATTGTTGACGAGGAAGGAAGAATTAATGAAGTTAGTAATAAATTATATTATTTGTTCGAGAAATGTTTAGAAGTTATGAATGAAATTTATATAGAAAAGAATAAAAAGAATATATTAATATTTAGAGAGATAATTTGCGGAGAGGAAATATACTTGCAGATGTTCGTAAATTACAAAAATATAAAAAAATTATTGGGAAATTAAGTGAAAAACATGTTTCTTTACATACTAAGAAAAAAATTTTAGTTAATCAATTGGGTGATTCCTTCCTCTTCTACTCGTTCCGTTATTGTCTATGGCAGGTAAACTAATTGGTAAGGTAATAGGAAAGAAAATTTAATGGCAAAGCAAATGGCTTTTGACCACCTGAATTATTGTCAGCATTTCAAAAATCTGAAATAAGAATTGGTATTAATATTTAAGAATTACTTGAGACTGGTAATTTTTCTGATGATAGTAAAATCAAATTATTAAGTCAATTGATTTCAAGATATCAGAGAACAGTTCACATATTTTGGTGTTGTGTGTAAATTAGTTAAAGAATTACCACAATTTGTTGTTAAAAAATGGCTCTCTTCTCAACTATCTTTTATGCTTCATAAACCTGTAAGAATTAGATATTCACGAAAAAAACTAAAAGTTTTTATCTTAATGACTTATATCAGGCTGATTTAATTGTATTAAAACAATTTCTAAATTTAATAATGGAATAAAATATTTACTAACTGTAATCGATGTATTTACTACATAAAACTTTGTAATTTGAAGATAATTGTTTTAATTCGAAAGAAAAAAACTGCGATTTCATCCAACAATTTTATATCGTTATTAATCATTAAAATATTTTACTATCTTCTTTGATATTCATAACTAATCTTAGGTTATAAATATGCTATTTATTACATATAAACGATAAAATGGGTACAAAATACAAATGTGAATGTTTCTCTCTATTAAACGATGAATATTTTGCAA